AGCAGTCATTTAGCAATTAGTTATTCACTAGAACATGCCAATTCACCACTCTTGCACTGGATTACACATTAACGATTGACTTGTTAGACTTTGCCACCCATAGCAGAATTGGATGAATACAAGACCCTTGTATGCTGACCAAAAAAAAAAAAAAAGTCTAATGTTTCACTGGGTCCCAATACCACAAGCTGGGGTCACTCCAGTAAAACACAGTATTAGAAAGGAAAATCTCATCACTTTGGGAACTCACAACCGGACAGACCTCTCTAGCTCAAACACAAGGAGGTCCTAGTGAGCAGGTATGATTGTCACAGGATGCTCGTTTCACAGACAAGATGAAATGAATTTGGATTTCACCTAAAGAATCATCTTCAAAGGAAGGAAAAGCCGAAGGAACGACAGATGCTGACGTGCTCTGTCAGCCCTCAGCCTGGCATCACCAAGTCTGCGCTGTGGCCTATTACCAAGCAGTAAATGCATAATCTTTCCCTGCACGTTTATCTGTTTGGAAAGCTAACACAGTTCATGTCATTCCTGAATAACCTCACACCTTTAAAAGCCTTAAAATACTCCAGTGACTCACACAACAGCAGAAAGTTTCTCCAAGGAAGCATTTTCGTCTCAGCTGCATGCACAAAGATGACACCAGCAGCTGTTAGATAACGCTGCCTGGGCTCAGAGAGACAAGGAGCTTCCGATGACAAGAGGACTCGCCACGCACTCCCAATGACTCTTCAGACTGAGAGAGGCTTTGGAGCGATTTTACTGACACACAGAAAAGAGGACGTTTCTCAGAGCGCTGTATGACAGCATCACGAACACCTAAACAAGCTACTCACCTTCTGACTGTAGATTGCGCTGTATTTGGCCAGGTGTTTGTCCTGGCAGCCCGCCCAACCCAGAAGGATCACCACAGGCTGACCGCCTGCACGGCCTCTCTCTGTACTGCTCCCTGCAACACACCACAAGACTTAAAACAACGCTCCTCCAGCCTGCCAGAATCAGAACTCAGGGCAGCTTAATAAAGTTAGGGTAACGGTGCAGCTTAATAAAGTTTAGGGTAACGGTGAAGTTTAACCCGTCGGTCAGTGACGAACGCTGCCTCACCCCGGTTTCACCACGCGGCCGCGCTCAGCAGGACAGCGCCGTGCCGGTCCCTGCAGCTCCCCAAAGCTC